TTAAAAAACCAGTTAAGTCAAGATGCATTCTGAATTCCCTTAGCTATCACTGTCCAACCTATAAAACTTTTCCAGTCCATACCCACTGTGTTGCACTGTGGTCGTTATTCTATTTTGCCCCATACCATTCTTCACTCCTTTTCTAATAACAGCCCCTGTCCCTCTCCCCACACCACGTGGCTGGCAAACAGACCACACATCCATATGGCCAAGGTGGCTACTCCAGGTACTCAGTCCATATGGATGTGGTGGCAGTCCAAGGGTGACCAAAAGCAGGGCCAATCAGAATCCCCCCCCTGGAATTATCATGCACATAGGCAGAGCAAAGTTGGGATCACAACTCTTCTGAGCTGCTATTGTCCTTGGTCTTCTAGAGGAAGTCCACCTTAGCAGGAGGAGAAAATGAGTGAACACACAGGAGAAAGGATAAGCAGAAAACAAGAGAGACCCTAACAGAGAAACTCTAGGCAGCACTGAGTCTCAGTTCCAGTACCTGAGAACCCAGTTTCTGTTTGCATTTTTAAAAATTTTGTAAGTTACTTCCATACTCCAGGATCTTTCCCGTCAGTGGAAGAAAATATTCTCCTATACACAAGTTGTTTCATGGCTTTCTGTCATCTGTCAACAGGCACTGCCTAATTACACCACCCTTACTATTTCACCATCTCCCTTTGTCAGAAGAGGTTCCCTCTCCTTTCCAAGACTCAGCCAACCACGTATCCACTGGACATCATTTCTACCTAGTTTTTATAGAACTATAAGAACTGTAAGAACGACAAGAACTGTAAGAACTTTAGCTCTTACAGAACTAGTTCTATAGAACCTAGTTCATACAGATATCTGAGCCAAGTTCTAGCCATAAACATGATGGATATCTATCCCTCCCACAGTTTAGCTCAAGCTTCCTTCAGCTTAAGTTCCTCCCATTTAAAAAAAGAAAAAGAAAAAAAAAAAAAAAAAACATAACAAAAAACAAAGGCTTTTGCTTTGCCTTGAATCACCCTCAAGCTCTTTGCCTACAGGTATGTCCTTGAAGAGTCCACAGCTGTCTTCACCATTCATTCATTCACTTCACCTTCCTGCAACCTACTGCAATTTGACTTCTGTTCCAAATAACCTCTTACTTGCCAAATCAGAACGGTATCTTGTCTCACACACACACACACGCACGCACGCACGAATCCAAGGCTTAGATATGGACAAAAGAGATTCCTGGATGTCCTAGCAGTGAAATGCAGGTGTAGTCTTCCAGACCCAGAGGGTGGTGGGGAAAAGGGTTATCTGATTCTACAGGGTCTGTTCCTGATTGACTTGCTACTGAGTAGGCTATTTTGACACTGTAGACACCTGACAGCAATGAAAGTGTTTCCTGTCCCATGAGATTCCATATTATTCCACATAATTCCAGGTGATTCCTGTTCATACCATACAAATGAAGTATGCTGAGAAAAGAATTTAAATCTAAGTCAAACTGGAACAGTTTTAACATTTTACAGCTTCCCTCATTAATGAATTGAATAAAATCTTTGACGTGTTCATTTTTCATCAGACGTGATGTTGCCATGTCAAAAATTATGCTTTGGCCTCTTCCAGTGAGCATCACACTCTCACTCTCTCATCATTTCCCGTGTGTAGACATTTACCTAGCTTGACTTCTAGCACGTAACACCTCCCAGCTCTTATTCTCTGGCCACTGCTCATCCTCCACTGGTGGCTTTCTTTCTCTTTGTTCCCTTTACAAGTTGCAATTCCCCAGGGTTCTTCCCCAGAGGCATCACTGAGTGGGTAAAATGAGTGCAAGCACCTGGCATCGTAGGTGGCACCTTGTCGGTGCTCAATAAAGGTCAGCTGGTATTAGCTTCATCCTCTTCGTCACCATGTCAGTTTTTATACTGCAAAAATGATGACTTCACAAGCCTTTCTCCCCTTTTAAAGAACAGGTCCCATGTTCCACTTACCATTGCACCCTCAGCACCCAAACATATATGTCTGAAGGAAGAAGAGAGAACCACTGGGTTCTGGAAAGGTATTCATATAATCTTGCATTAAAATATTCTTGATGAAAAAGGTATTTAAAAGGCCCCAAACAAGCATTCCTCTCCTAACTCCCAACCACCAGTAAAGTTCTGGGCGACTCTCCAATTCTACTTCCTTCTTCCACTTAGCAGATCATGGGATCTAAGACCAGAGTCACACCCCAAACAAGCATTCCTCTCCTAACTCCCAACCACCAGTAAAGTTCTGGGGGACTCTCCAATTCTACTTCCTTCTTCCACTTAGCAGATCATGGGATCTAAGACCAGAGTCACTGCTGCATGGGATAGCAGAGAGTGCAGCACTGTTCAGTGGAAAAAGAATGCATACTCTCTACATAATTTTAAATTGCCCAGTAGCCACGTGAAAAAGGAAAGAGAAAATGGTGAAATCCATTTTAATCACATATTGTTATAATTTAATAACATATTTATGATGTATTTAACAGTGTATCCAAAATATAATCATTTCAATATGAAATCTGCATAAAAATTAATGTGATATTTTACGTGTTTTCATAATAATTCTTTGAAATATGATATTTATCTTACACTTACAGCACACATTGGTTAGAACTAGCCACATTTCAAGTGCTCAATGGCCATAGGTGGCCAGTGGCTACTCTACTGAACAGCACGGGGACAGAGGGACAGAGTGACATAGCAAGAGGGTGACTTTTTGGAATGTAAATCTACAGTCAATCCTCTTCTTTAAAAAATAAACAAATGAAACAAATACCTTCAATGATTTCCTGTTGTTATAGAATAAAGACCAAATTCATTAAAATGGCTCACAAGGCCTGATGTTTTGGCCCTTTCTTACTTATCCAGCCTAATGTTTGTCTAAGAATCTGGTCAGTGGGCCTCATCCTACAAGACCTCCATGGGTGGTGAGCAGAGACAGATAATACCAGAACTGCAAGAAGGAGGAGATAGCCAAGGGGCTTCTCTTCCCTCCCACACCCCATAGCCATCCAGAGTCTGGTAAAGTCTGGGACTGGGAGAACCATTCTGTGGCTTGGCCCTGGGACAAACAACAGACTTAAACAGAAAGTGAAGCTACTCAGACCTTAGTGGGATTGCTAAGTGCAGTAGTGTTCCCAGGGTCAAGAGAGTAATTTTTGTAGGGCCACCATACAAATGTAATAACATCTGGTTATTCTTAAATGAAACTAAGGAAGGAAAAACTTAAGATGCAAGATGTGACACACATATCAAAATAGCCACTCATCAGAAAAAGACAATTTAGTCAACGTCATTAACTAAATTTGAATTCTAGCCTTTAAAACAAAAAAAAATCCTGTTTAACACTCAGAATGCATAATCTGTATGTATATCCAGAAAAGTGAAACAGTATCAAAAACATATAAGCATGCACAGAGTTCCAATTTACCAAATTCATAGCTTACCAACAAAACTATACTAGAGGAACTCCTCAGCAGAATGTGAATATTATTTCTAAAATTTATACTTTGAAAATGTCACATACAGGCAAAAGTTAATTTATTATTAATCCCTACTTAATAAAGAAGCAGGCAGAATGTTTTTTTGTTTTTGTTTTTTTTAAAAGATGACCGGTAAAGGGATCTTAACCCTTGACTTGGTGTTGTCAGCACCACGCTCTCCCAAGTGAGCTAACGGGCCATCCCTATACAGAATCTGAACCCGTGGCCTTGGTGTTATTAGCACCACACTCTCCCGAGTGAGCCACGGGCCAGCCCCACGGCAGAATGTTTTTAAATGCATATACAAATAAAGAACGTAAGTATTAGTATTTTCCACTTAAATATGAAGAATTATCTTTTTCACATCATGATTCATAACTCTTTCAAGATAAAAATTTGATATGTAACATATTGTGACAGTGTAGATGCTTTTTTGTTTCTCAAAACAGGAGTTAATAGAGATTGTCCTTTCTTAAACAGCACTATCAAAATAAACTGTTTAATAACAACAATGATTTTACTATTTACAATTAAAAAATAAAGATATTTTAATAATAACAATGATTTTAGACATTAAACATTCATTTCAGATCCAGAAAACTAAAGGAAAATTTCTAATACATAAAGGATTACAACAGAGAAAATTTTGCCAGGCTCTCTCCTGTTTATACCAAGTGGAAGAAATGTTTCTTTGCAAATAAGGATAAGAGTGATTCCTTTAAGTGTTCTTAAAGCACAAACAGCCACGTGTCCTAGAATACAAAATTGTCTAGGAAGTGTGGGATAAAATGGGGGACACCAGTTTTAAGTTAAATTAGTAAGGAAGGAGTACCCTCTGTACAATACCAGCAAAGAGATGACGAAGAATTAAACAAAGAATGAAGATCTCTCCAAACTGAGATGATGTGATTTCCAGGATATAAAATTAAGTAAAAAAAAGGAAAATACAGAACAGTGCTTATTATAAACTAACTTCTGTATAAGAAAAAGAAGAAAATATTCTCTTTTGCAAGAAAGATACATCAGAAACAAGGAAAATGTTTATCGATAGAGGATGGATGGCAAGTGAAATTTGTTGAGTATAACTTTTTATAGAGTTAACAATGTATATGTTTTTTCATTTTCAAAAAGTAAAATTAATGAAGGAATAACTAAAATTGCATACAAATAGACATAAATGAACTAGAACATATCAAGTTGGTAAGAGAAAAAATTAATTCAAGCACTTTACCCATCATGCCTCGACTGCACAGCCGTAGGAGGGTAAACATTCTAAAGATAAAAGGCAGTGCTGAGACATTTTAAACTTTGTTTAGTTGGTTTATTGATGGTCATAATATGACAGCATAATCTTAAAAAACATTTATGTATTGTAGGGTAAAGCAAATAAATATATTAATGGTATGCTGAATCATTAGGAACCAAGGTTTTCACTATAAGAGATAAAACACAAATATAAAATATAAGAAGTAAATAAATGTGTGTGACCCAACATGAATTGCTGGAATGAGATGAGACTTACTTCCTGGCAATACTGCAGGATGCCTTCTTTGGTGCCAATGCAGGTTTTGGTCCCCGATGGATCTGACTCCCACTTCCCACTCTGCACATTCATGTGCATGTTGAGTTTGCCACAGAACATGGCGATCTGGGGTTCAGCCAGTAGGCCAGCATTGCCATCAGTGGGGACCTGAAAACATAAGTTTCAGTTAGTTATAGAATCCATGTTCTGGGGTAGAGGATGGGGAGAGGAACAGAGAACTGGGCTACAATATCTCAAACAGTTCTATTCTAGCCAATTCTGTCTTAGCCCTGCCTTCAGCATTCCTTTGGATTAAGTATTATATATGCTACAGACATTTCCAGCCACATAATATATAGTGTGTTCCTTTACAATGAAATAGAGGAAGAAATTTACAATACTAAAAGAAATTTATTCATTGAAAGATTTATACATGTTCCCCATAAAAGACTTTGTGGTACCCGCTGAAAGGTTCTCATAATAAAATAAGATGCTTTCCTGAAATAAATATAATCACAGTGAAGAAAGCCACATTTTCATAACCTCCAACTGACTCACACAAAGCCCAATGCCAGACCCTGTCTAATGACCAGGCCTGGGAGTAATGCTGTGCCACCTCTCAGCGCTCAGCGCACGGCATAATTAGTGTCCATTATTAGCTAGCAAGTGAAGGCATTATAATTTTTGAACAGAAAAATTCACTGTAGTACTGAAACGGTCCACAAGTGTAATTGCATATATTGGCCATTCCACCTGATTTTCTCCAGAACATTCTCTGGTTATCACTTTCTCAGCTCTTAATTTAGGGTGCTGGTGACCATCTCTCCAACCTCACTGCCAGGACCAACAATCTCTCATTCTGAGCCCAGCACAGCACAATAGGTCTTAGCCATTACACTACTGCAATCAATACACCGCGTCACGACTATAACTCTGAAAGGGTATCTTCTGTATTTTCAAGCCCTCTGTGCACAGGGATTACCTTCATTTAAATATTCTAAAAAGGGGAAATGGAAGTTCTGAAATATCTATACTATCTCACTTAATTCTATCTCAAAAAGGAAAAAACTTCAGCAAGAGATGAAAAATAAATCCACAGGAATAAAAGTGTTATTCAAAACCAAGGAATCACAAGACTTGTTAATCACGCTAATTCCTCCCTTGTTAAGTCCAGCTGCAGAGGAAACCTAAGACATCCATGCCAAGAATTAGGTCCAACAGAAGCCATTCATGCAGCCAAGAACTGGGTGATTTCATAATCACCTGTATCATCCCTAAAAATTGTTCACAGGAGAAAAAAAACCCAACAACACTAAAATTGCATGGAGAGATTTCAGTTTAAGAAATGAAATAGCTTCCTGACATTTCTTCCCACAGAAATGTAAAATAGATCAAACATCAGCCCATTCTAGTCATCTTCACGTATATTTTGTCTACCCATAAGAGAGGATTTATGTCCCTTTTTAAAAAACACACACACAGAAAACGAAGAGGTCTTGCCCTGAAACTAGTTATGAGTGCAAAAGTTGCCGGCAAAATCTCTAAAACCATGTTTCAGGTAACTTTTTATTTAACAAAATTCTGCCTCTACATTGCCAGATGTCTAGGTAATTCGCTTCAAAAAGCAGCTGAGGCCACGATGTCAGATTGCCTGCAGGAATAGCTAGGACCCCTCAACTCCTCCACCTGAGCCCCTGCCCCGCTTACAATTTCCATGAAACTGAGAGTCTCCTTTTCCAACAGATGCAAAGCAGCCTAAGCAGATGCTCTATATACTTAAATTTCACAGTTTCCCTGTGAGATTAAGTAGAAAAACCAGAATACTGATTTTGCCAATCTTACTGAAATAAGTAATCATGGCAAGAAAGTTAAAGAGTCAAATAATAATCAGATACTTGTGGGACAAGGCTGTATATTATATCAGATGCTATGGAGGGCCCTGCCCTCAAGGCATCTACAATCCACTACCAAAATCACCACTGTATTCCCCACACTACTTTATTCTTCTCAACCTTCAAACTTGGTCTAGTTCCCCAAATTTCCAGTCTTAGTAGCATCTAGGTGCCTTACCCCTAACTGAAGAGAGACTAATAAGCCTTTTTAACAGTTGGTATTTTGTTGAATAAATTCCCTCCTCTCGACCTCAAAATTTCTCTGTACCTCTTTCTCCATAATCTATTCACTATAGTGTCTAAGGAAAGTGTTCTACCTCGTTTTGAGTATAAATGCTGTTAATTCCATTTCCTCCCCTCAAGGAATGTATTAATTGGCAATGTTTCTCCCTGTGGTCACCAGCCTCCAAGAAGGCCCCACTGATCCTGCCTCCTGGTATTTACAACCTTGGACAGTCCTCTCCCACAGTGTATCAGGGTTTGTGCAATGGGCAGAACACAACAGAAATGATGACTTGTGACTTTCAAAGCAAGATCACAAAGTGTATTACAGTCCTTCACTGCTCTCTAGGGTCACATGCTGTGGGGGAAGTTGGCTGCCATGTTGTGAGGACACTCAAGCAGCCTGTGGAGGTGGGTGGTGAGGAGCTAAGATCTCCTGTCAATGGCCATTGTAAGCGAGCTTAGAAACAGCCTACAGCCTCCCTCAGGCCTGCATGTGACTGTAGCCCTGGCTGACAGCCCGGCTGCAACACTGATGGAGACGCCTCTAGAGCTAGAACCACCCTGAAGACACTGCCAAATACCTGACCCACAGAAACTGCAGGACAATAACTGTTTGTTGTTTTAAACCATCAAGTTTGGGGTAACCTGTTACACAGCAATAGATATCTAATGCACTCCCCCTTTCCTCCAGCTACTTACATCCACAAATAGCCTTTGATCTCCTCTATGAAAAAAGCACACACACACACACACACACACACAAAAAAAAATTTTAGAAGAAAAAACATTAAAGAAAACATAAGAGAAACACTTCAGGATGTAGGACTCGACACAGACTTCATGAATACGACCCCAAAAGCATGGGCAACAGAAAGAAAAATAAACAAATGGAATTATATCAAACTAAAAAGCTTCTACACAGCAAAAGAAACAATTAACAGAGTTAAAAGACAACCAACAGAGTGGAGAAAATATTTGCAAAATATACATCTGACAAAGGATTAATATCCAGAATATACAAGGAACTGAAACAACTTTACAAGAGAAAAACAAGCAACCCAATTAAAAAATTGGCATTTCTCTAAGGAATATATACAAATGGCCAACAGACATGAAAAACTGCTCAACATCACTCAGCATTTGGGAAATGCAAATCAAAGCAACACTGAGATAACATCTCACCCCAGTTAGGATGGCTAATGCCCAAAAGACTGTGAACGATAAATGCCGACAAGGTTGCAGAGAAAAAGGAACTTTCATACATTGTTGGTGGGACAGCAAAATGGTGCAGCCTCTATGGAAAATGGTATGGATGTTACTCAAACAATTGCAGATAGATCTACCATATGACCCAGCTATCCCACTGCTGGGAATATACCCAGAGGAATGGAAATCATCAAGTCGAAGGTATACCTGTTCCCCAAAGTTCATCGCAGCACTCTTTACAATAGCTAAGAGTTGGAACCAGCCCAAATGTCCATCATCAGATGAGTGGATACGGAAAATGTGGTATATTTACACAATGGAATACTACTCTGCTATTAAACAG